GTGTTCTTTTAGATAATCGAAAGGACTGTCTTGTTATCATTTTCCACGTCTTCTAAGAAGGAATGCAATCTTTATCCAATACAATGGTAAGCTAATTGTTGTAATAATACAGTTAATGTGTTTAGTTTCTTGTGGTTTCTGTAATGTAACTGACTATAGTGTTTCAACTACAAATACATTTAGTGTTAGACATTTGATGAGCAAACGAATGATAAACGCGTATTTTGAACATATAGATAGTTCACATATATCATTTTGTTTATAAATATTCGATTAAATTTTTCTATCGTTTTTTTTCTTTTAATGTACTATCTTATATTATAGCTTTAATTATACAACGAGTTATACTGTGTTTATCTTCTTTCTGGAAACAAGATAGAGAGATACAAAAACATATAAAATGACCTAAATTTATCAGCCTTACTGTGCCATAAAAGTTAACACTATAGAATTTTACACATTTTAAAGTTGTTTACACTGAAATCACTGAACAATGTTTCTACTTGAAAGACCCCATATAAACATGCTGTAAAGAGACCAAAAAATTCAAATCTGTCTTGAAATAAAAACAAAATCATATAAATATACTACTTTAATGACAGGTGGAATTTCCACCAAGAATTCTGGGAAGAAGAATGACGTATTTTTAAAGATTACTATTACTGTACAGAGTGATTAGTGTAGCAAAATAAATAACCATCGCTTTATTCAACAAATACAACTTTCTGACGTATTTTATAACACCACTCAAATAAACTTTAAGGAAAAACTTTGACGTCATAAGAAATCTCAGAAATGTTGTACTGGTCATAAGTTTTTTTTCGGACACAAATAATTTCCACGGTATGAATATGTACATCATTTTAAACGTTTAATTTTCTAGACGAGTATGAGTTTTTTCAATAATGGAATAATGTGATATTAAAACCACCTTGCTCAAGTATTTAAGATTAGATTGAAATGTGCATTCATTTAATTACAAAGTTTTCATTTACATTTATTCACGATTATGATATTTCGATAGAGACATGCTGGATGATATAAAAGTATTAGTGTAGTGATGTGTGATGTGCTAGATATGGTTGGTAACTTTCGTTTGGTGAAACTATATTTCTGGTTCTTAAAAAAATGGGACTAAATGGAATTTATGAGATAATTTGACGAGGAAATATATTTAGATAAACTGATTGGAAAATGTATGAATATCTAATAATGTGATTTATTTTCCGCGTTCAACGTTAGCATGGTTCTAAAGGTTTCGATGTTTTTAATATCGCAAAAGCAATATAATAGGCTTCTTTAAGAATTAATTTATTATCACGTCAATATTGAATATATTATTCTAATTCCTAATCGTCTATTATATAACTTTATGGTGACTTGGAACACCAGCATTTTTTTTTCGTGACGTAACACGTCTTTTTTTGCGGAAGAGTGACATCAACAAGACCCAAAAGCCGTATGAACAGCTGGTTCATTACAACATTGTTAAGCGCACACAATCTCGTCTCCTGACAGGCTAAAGTTTTCAGTTTTCAAAACAAGCACTCAAGTTTTTCAGGTATTTGGGGGCTTTACCTTTTTTGATTTTTTGTCTTTCATCAATTATTTCGAAAAATTAATGTCAGAATTCAAGAGGGCGCCATCTGGATGAAGATATATAAAATATAAAGTTCAAAGTTTATTCAAAAGAAACGGACTGAGTTGTTTTGATGCTCTTTACATATCACATTAATTGAAGAACAACATTAATATATAAAGTAATAAAAACCCTTAGAATCGCAATTAATGAGGTGTCTTTCGAAGACTTACAAAAAATCC